AGCAGCAGCAGCTACTATAAGTAGCAGTACCAGAGGAGGGCCTTTAAAATCAGCATAAGTAATCGTACCAGTGTCGTCGGCGCCGGTACTGGTGGCGGCCAGAGATGGTAGCCCGTCATTGTCGAGAAACCCGATGGAAGAGTTCTGACCCTGGGTTCTTGTTAAGGGGTTTAANNTTTAATTTAAGTTACCATCATAGGGGTCTATGGTAAGTAACAAAGCTACCTTATTATGGTAACTTTAAAGTAAATCCCCTAACAAGAACCCAGCAATTCCAGCGCATGAGGTTAGCAGACCTTCCATCCACCAGTGGTCGCTCCATAGGTTGACTCACGGATCGACTGCTGCGGTTTTGGTTCGTGGATGATGCGCTTGTGTTTTACTCTGCGCCAGTGTGAGCGGTACAGGCGTTGGTGGGAGCAGCCGGCAGCAGCCGAGATCATAGTGAGAACCTCCCTCATGTTCACGAAGATGATGGTGATTGTGATTGTGATGGTCAAGGTGGCGTTGATGATAATCGTCCAGCAGGCAATGATCGCAGTATCCGGACCGAAAACAGGGTTACCATAAGCTAGTGGGATGTGGTCTTCCATGGTGATGGTGGGAGTCACTGCGGTGAGAGTTAGGGTTCGTGCCTGGGCCCCAAAGCCCCAAAACCCTCAACCCCTCTAACTTCTAAGTCCCTCAAGTCGTAGAAGGGCCAGCACTTGCGGCCTTCTATTTGCCCCTTGTCAGGTTCTACAAATGGGGCATGTTCCTGTGTCTGCTCATCGCGCCGAAAGCTTAGGTACTCGCCCGGATTTAAAGCTGCCAAGACTAGGGGTGGGGGTATCAGTCAACAATATTTATACTATTAAACTTGTTCTGATGAGTAGTGTAGCTACCATAACGTCTTGTGCTTACGTGCCCCATGAAGGATTGCTTTTTGTCCAGGGCTTGAGGCCTGGAGTCTGGAACATAAAGTTTGAGATGCAGATGTTTCTTGCTCTCCTGCTGCCCTGCCATGGAATTGCCGAAGATTTGCATGTCATGTATTTGGGATCTCAACCCTAGACCTCAAACCCAGATGATGCGGCCAAACACGAATCCTCCGCGGGGGGCCATCGGCCATCTTGCTGTCCACTTCTTGAACGTGAGGCGAGCCTTTCCCAGCATGAAGCTAGCAGCCCTAATGTAGGAGCCTCAGCAAGAACTTTGGTCTTGTTTGTAGCCCCAAAAGATTGGGACCGATGTAAATACACCCCCTCCCTCGCCACAAAAAAAAGACCCAAGGGTTCTCAATCAGGCTCCTATATTTAGAGCCCCGGAGCCTAGGCGCTCCAAGCACCCTAAATCCCTAAACGCCTAAACCCCAAACCCTATACCCCTAAACCCTGAGCCCCAAGATGTGACCGGCTCCTGCGAGGTCGATCGCCCTTTACTTGGCGATTAAATGCCCGTGCGCCCGATCCAGCTGATCTTTCACTAGGGCTTTAGGGCTTCAAGGTTTGGGGGTTTAGGGTTATGGGTTCAGGGTTTTGGGGGTTTAGGGTTTTAGGGTTAGGGGTTTGGGGTTAGGGGTTTAGGGTTCAGGGGTTTAGGATTTCGAGACCCTACACCCAAAGCCGCAGTCGGAGTGGCCGTATTTTCTCGGCGGACGGGAGGTAGAACCGTAAGCCCTAAACTCAAGACAGTTTATGGTTTAGAGTTTAGGGTTTAGGGTTGTTAAACTCAAGACACTTCACGATTTCTTCCCTCCCTCTAATACAGGAGTCGGAAGAACTAGCAATACTATTTGTTTATCGGTGCCGTCATATTGTAACTATGGTGTGATGTACCTCACCTCAAAACACCCGTTTGATGGACTACTGTAGTCAGTAAGTCTTAGCACTACAACATAAGGTTCCTGTATACAAGTAATGATATGCGCCAGCAAAGAGAACTGGGGGGCCCCAATATATAGACCCAAATAAAGTAGGGTTTAGGGTTTAAGGTTTAGGGTTTGGGGTTTAGGGTTTAAGGTGTAGGGTTTAGGATCTATACTGAAAGGCTTTCCAAGAAGAGGGACCGTCTGATGCCTAGACACCCCGTGCGAGCTCTCCGGATTTCAGGTACGCCTCAGTTTGTCCGGCTGGCTTCGCTGCTATGATGGTGGTGATCTCGGAGAGGTTTATTAGGGTTATAGGTTTAGGGTTTTAGGGTTAGGGGTTTATAGGGGTTTAGGATGTAAAGTAGGGTAAATATTTGGCGGTTAGGGCTTTGCCCCCTCTCGTGCTCAGTGGCCCTTGTTTTCAAATCCATGTGGCTTATATTTTGAAGTACTCATTCCAGAAAGCAAGGTTCCGACCTAGAGCATACACGATCTGTTCCAAGCCTGTGCTTTGCGATGGCTACATCAGAAGCCGCTACGCTAAGCGGCTGAGTAGGTAACCTTTAACCTTTTGGGGTGTATGAAAACCCTACTATAAGTTCAAGACTTAACCTTTTTTGGGCTAGGCTACTCGGCCTTATTCTAAGCACTGCAAGTGCCCTCATCCAGCTCAGCTGTTTCTCAGAGGGTGGTCGGCGTACAGGTCGGAGGCCTGAGCGCTGCGACCTAAATCCTTGAACCCAAACAGATCCAACTTAAACCCATAGCGCCGATCACTATGTAGGCGATAGGCTAAAACGTCTCCTGTCCTGGCAATGCATGTCTTTGTCTTGCAACACCCCGTTTGAAGTCTGGAACATAAAGCGATTTAGGGCGGATCCCGAACTTACAACAACCCCTTGTGGTAGCCCTTAGAGTGGCCCTTACAGTAGCCCCAGCATATAGTAATCGTTGTCATCACCTTCGAAATAACTTGACCGAGCCTCCTATGCCTACAGTAGACCCTGACCTCGTGAAGAAGGATACACAGTTCCAACCCACCAGCAACTATGCCTCAGCTCACCGGCATCAGCGCCGCACTGACCGTGCGCCTGGCAAGGGAGGGGGCCGGGGCTGAGCCCTAAGGCTTCAAGGTTTCGGTTTCAAAGCTCGTGTTGAAAATGAAAACTAAGCACAATTTTCACCGTTTTTGGTCCACATGAGATTTCTGTTCCATTGAGCTTATACCTTAGGACACCTGCTATATTTCCGGGTTCTTTCTTCAGGCTTTAGGGCGAGGGATGAGCTTCAACTAGGCTAGCAGTCTTTATGTGGGTAGTTTTCTAAAATAGGGTCCCTCTTAGGGTCCTTTTTTATTATAAGGGTGCCGTACTTTATTGGGGACCTAAAAAGGGACCCGATTTAGAGAACTACCCATGTGTTGGTCGCTCTCTCTTTCTCTCTCTCTCTCTCTCTCTCTCTCTCGCTCAGACTCTCTCTCGTTGTTGTTACTTATTTTGCTCTCCTCTGTCTACTTACCTGTTCATCTAGCTCTGCATCTGTGTAGCTGTTTGCTGTCTGCTTGAGATGGTAGCTACTCTATAAGTATGTTGTACTGTGCACTCAGAGAGATATAAACGGTATCTGTCATGAACGTGTCTGTACATGCATACACACATCCATTCATACATAACATACACATGCATAAAAACATACATGCATGCATACACTCAAGCAACAACAAACAACACACAATTAGACAAGTAAACACACAAATGTGTACACGCACAAAGAACCAAATAAACGAACGAACAGACACACAGACGGACAGACGGACAGACAGAGGCAGACAGACAGACAGACAGACAGACAGACAGATAGACAGACAGACAGACAGACAGACAAACAAAGCAAACCAATTACAAATATAGACACGGACATACACAACACCCACACACACACACACGCACACACAGTGCGTATATATTTGTATGTATGTATGTGGTAGGTAGGTAGGTAGGTAGGTAGGTAGGTAGGTAGGTAGGTAGGCAGGCAGGCCAGCAGGCAGGCAGGTGGGTAGGTAGGTAGGTAGGTAGGTAGGTAGGTACATACATACATACGTACGTACATACATACATACATACACACATACATACATACATACATACATACATACATACTTACATACATACATACAATATGGGCACACATTTTTGAGCCCGACACATGGGATAAGGTATGTGGCATATGATGTATGGTACATGATACGACATTAGATTTATAACAATGATATGACATTTTGATGCGATATGTGTGGCGCAGCGTGATGTTATGTGGTGTAAAATGATATGCCACGAAGAGATATGGTGTAATACGTTCTGCTGTGATGTGACATGTCATGAAGTGATATGGTAGGATATAACATGCCATAGTGTGATGTGATTTGCTGTCGCATGGTATGTTGACAGTTAAGATAAGATTCGGTAGTAGACTATGTGAAATTGAAACGTTCTGTGTATGCATGCGTGCTTGCATATGCGCATAAACTCACGTAAGTGCACGAACCTGTGTCAAGCATTCAGCTTCACAGCCGTTTCATGGACGACTTCATTCACACGCGGCAGGGCATTGTCATGTTCTTCGTCAAGCGGTCGCTGAGCCACGTGCGGAAGCTCCACATTGATGACTTGTCTGCGAAGAAGATCACGGCACCTGGGCATGAGCATGCACGATTCTTACGCTGGAGATTTGAAAGCCTCTGCTGAACAGGCCAGGACGGTGCGCTGCGGCGGCATTGCAAGAAAGTGCCCGTGCTGGCCCGCACCTCATCACCGTTCGGTCTAAAAGATTTGCTGCTCTCTCCATGCATTCTTTCGACCGACTGCATCCTGAGGGTTTGGTTGCTTTCTGGCTGACGACCTAAAACCCCAGGCATCAGCCCGGTGTGAGTCCTGCCTGCATGCCTCCAGTCGAGGTCTCGCTGGCTCTTCTTCTTCATGACGGTAGGCGTCGTCTCAGGACCGGCTATCTTGCGCATGGAGTCTGGAATGCCTCTGGTGAAGCACCCTGTAAACCCTGCGATCGGTGCAGGATTCAGCATCGCCGTGGTGCTGTCCACGTGCCCCGATGCGGGAGATGCCACGCTGTGGAAAGGGGTGGTTTCTGGCATGTTTTGAAGCACCGTTGAAGGCTTGGGTGGGACAAATTGTACGCGTGTCAATCAGATCGGCTCACCCTGAAGCCTACGGCCTAACTGCAGTCTTGAACCAAATTTGGGGCTTCAGGTCCATAAACCCTTGTGAAGCCTACCATAAGCCCTGCACATGTGGCGAAGCGAAGAACAAGCGCACGAAAGCCAAAATCCAAGCCGCACATCCCAAACTAACCCACGAAGCCCTGGCCCTAGGGTTTAGGGGCTTAGGGGCTTAGGGGCTTTGGGTTTAGGGTTCAGGGGCTCAGGGGCTTTGGGGCCACGGGTTTAGGGTTTAGGGGCTTAGGGTAGACCCCTAAGCATTGAAGTTACATCACCCGCTGAGAATGGCAGCGTCCAGTTTCACAAGTACTGACAGCATTGCATTCGGTGCTAGAGATGCATACTGGCAATGAGAACAAGAAATCCTAAAACCTTAAGCCCTAAAGCCCTGTAAGCCTTAGACCTCAATGACAACCCTTCACGGCCTTGGCGCCGATGTCGAACGAATTCTGGGAGCCAGGCAGATTGTGAGATGAAGGCGCCGTCGGCTCGGAAGGAATTTCAAGTATGCCTGGGTGCTGTGATAGAAGCCAGAATAATCACTTTCGTTATAGAGTTCGAACCGGGGTTGGACCAGTTAGTAACAACATTTCCTTGTGGTCCATAAAGCTCAGCAGAGGTAGGTTTGGGGGTGTAATGAGAGCTCAGAGGGTTAAGATCGAGAGTGTAAGGCTCATACGATTTACGGTGTGATACTGTTGATATCTGTTGATCCCACCGTACGGCTTTCTGAACATACACAGTTCAGGGCATGGGTTTCTGAAGCAGAGCCTTCGTTCCTTGTGGTATGGACCCAACGCTTCATCTGCAAATCCAAGCCCACAAAGCATCCATTGCCCATCCCAGAGCCTTGAGCCACGGTTGGGCAAAGGATCTCATGTTTCAGGTTCATGGCCGTAGATCCACAGAATCCGTCAACCCTAAACCCTAAGCCCTAAACGTTAAACCGGAATCTAGATGTAAGGTGCTGTAAGGTTGGGTATGGAAATCGGTGTTTAGCAATTGAGGCCAGAACCCAGCAGTTTCTCCCTCCACCCTCAACCCTACCCGCTCCGTTTAAACGACGCCCCGAAAGAAGGTAATACAAAAAAAGGAAGGAATTTTCTGAAGAACCGCACTCTTCCGAGCCCGACAGACAGCCCTTTTTGACATGTACAGCTTGCCCTTCTACACAAAACCCTAGAAACAGTCCATAGAGCCTTTGTTGGCAACCTTGAAACACAGACGCCTCAGCTTCCTGGTGCTTGAGGGGCAGTGGGAGGATGGATCCCTAGAATAGTCCATACATAATTCCTTATAGGGTTTAGGGAGAAGGGTTTAGGGGTTTAGGGGTTTAGGTTTTAGGGGTCCATCCCCCAGTCTCCCTGGAAACGCCGACGCCTTAGGCCAGACCCGAAGGGCGAGTTTGGCGTCCTTTTTGGCCTCTGGCCTCGTGGCGGCAGTCAGGGTTGAGAGAGTTTAGAGCTTAGGGTACAGGGTTTAAAGGGCTTCGGGTTGATGGATATGTTTTTTTGTTTAACATTTGCCAGTCCTTGTGCAAGTCCTATGAAGTATGCGGTTTAGTGGTCAGGGTTTAGGGTTCATGTAGTGCAGCTGATGTTTCAGGCTCATCACAGCATGCTTTACGGGATCAAATTTGACAGCACATGACATGGCAACAGGCATTGGTGCACAGGAGGTGATGCACGTTTGGGGAGGGCGGAGCTGCGTTTCCACTATTTGTTGCAGTGATCTCATGTCTGTGCTAGGCGGCCTCGGACCAATCGGAAGGCTCTCTCCGCTGTTGGGCTCCTAGGTGATAATTCATCATTAAGCACTCGCAGAAGCTGCAGCCAACTCGTGAGACAAGCTGATGCCCCACGTATGGGATACATGTTGTGGGCCACTTCCTCTGGTCTGAAAAATCCCGGGTTTCCAAGCCTCAGAGCCATGGACGCCGCTGCGTGTCTTGACATTCTGAGCCGCGCGGCGCACACGAGCAGCTCGCCTGCAAATTCCGAACCTCAGGACCAAGCGAGTCTTTACACAGTCTGCATGCCTCCTTCTCCTGCAGGCCATCGCCTAGAATTCGAATTTCGATGCCGTCTCCAGTAGTGCTGTGTGTAGACACACACACACACAAGTGGCTGCAGGCGTATCAGGCCTGTGCGTGTGAAAGACAGGCCTTGATGCAGGACCTCGGGATCGCTCCTTTGAAATTCGTCCATAACCCATAGGCTCCATAGTAGTTCCTTTTGGGATTACCTTATAGGATCCTATAGGGTAATCCCAAAAAGGAACTACTATGGAGCCTATGGGTAACCCTTAACCCTCCAACCCGTAAACCTCGACCCGACAAGCCCTAAGGCCTCAAGCTCATTTCAACGCGGCTTGCTTCGGGTTCTCGTTGTTCCCCATTGGGATCTCTTATAGGGTCCCATAAGGTAATCCCCAAAAAGGGCCTACTATGGAGCCTATGGGTAACCCCCATTGGGATCTGAAGTGAACGCCCAGGTTCCCAGCAGAATGGTGGCAAGGCGTGCGGCCATGGAGGCTGAGCCCTTCCGGTGACCCCAGCAGGATGGAGGGCTCTAGGCGCATAGGAAGTATAGGGGTTCGGGGTTCAGGTTGGAGGGTTCAGGGTTTTAGGGGTTCAGGGTTCAGGCTTTAGGGGTTTAGGGCTTTTTGGGGTTCATGGGAACTCCAGAAGCCAACTGTGGAGACTAAAGAGGATAAGGACAGGCTAAGGACCCTGCCGCCCGTGCGAGTGGGAGGGTGCTCTTCAAAGCCCTACCCATAGGCTCCATAGTAGTTCCTTTTTGGGATTACCTTATGGGATCCTAAATATAAACCCACAAAAAGGAACTACTATGGAGCCTATGGGTGCATAGGGGGAGTGGATGATCAGCAAGAGTAATCGTCTTCCTTAGGGTTCCCTGTTCTTATCATACCATGAGAGACCATACCCCGAAAGCCAAGTCTAATTTTTAGGCCCCTCCAAAAACTCCTTCTAGTGACTCTGAAAGAACCTCTGAAGCAACCCCACTTAAGAAAGCCCCATTCCAACTACTCGTATTTAGGTCATTTTTAAATCCTTAAAGTTTACACAAGCCGAAGCTCTGTTTAGGCTCTGTTAGATGGAAGACCCAGAGCCCTAAAGGAACTCATCTTGGCCGAAGGCGCACCTCAAAGCACCGAGGGAGGTTATCCCGCAGCACAGACTGAGCAGAGTGGCCAGGCCTCGAGACTGGGGCTCAGGCTGTAGGGTTTCGGGATTTTAGGTTTTAGGCTGATAGGGTTTAGGGTGTATACGGTTTAGGGTTTCGGGATTTTCGGGCTTTAGGCTTGTAGGGTTTAGGGTGTAGGGCTTCGGGGTTTTAGGGTTTAGGCTTATAAGGTTGCAGGTTTTTTGGGTTCAGAGCTTACGGGGCGCTAAGGCTGTTGGGGTTTAGGGTCGAGCCCTAAGCCCTACCGTAAAGCCCCAACCCTAAACCGTGAACCCGTTGAAACCCTATGATCGTGGTTCTGACTTGTGTGTTTTCTTTTCTAGCGTGATTACGGCACGATCATTACTACTTACTGGGACTACTCTTGATGTTTTCAGCTCTCATGTTCCCTAATGAAGCCCTAAACCCCTAAACCCTAAACCCTAAACCCTAAACCCTAAGCCCTAAACCCTATAAGCCCTAAACCCTAAACCCTGTTACTGTTAAGCGGTGCTCAGCTCAGGTCGGCCCCGGTGCCTCGATTCTTCCCTTCTCGAGAAGTCTCGAAACCAAAATACACACACACACACAGATACAAATAAACAAAAAACAGAAGCACAACAACCGAACAAAAGCAAACACACACACACAAACAGCAACAGCAGCAGCAGCAACAGCAACCACAACAACGACGACAAAGGCAAGGATGACAGGTTTCTTCATGGATGACTATCACGACTCTGGGTGGAATGCGATCGCTGGTGCTGGTGTTGGTGTCGTCGTCGTCGTGGTCGTCGTCGTCGTCGTCGTCGTCCGTCGTTGTCAATGTCGTCTTCACCTTCCGCATCATCAGCTGTATCAGCCTGCTTTACCGTTTTGATCGTGCGTGCTACTCTTTGTGTCATTGTTGTCGGTGCTGTCGCGAGCTTTACGACATCCCTGTCGCGATACCGCCACTCTTTCACAGAGACGCCCTGCTTGAGAGGCTCACTCGTGCTGCGGCGCAAACCCGGAGGCAGACTCCCAGAACATGCCATACTTATTCCTTTGGCTTGGGTCCGGTGCAGCGCGAGCGGGGCCATTTTGGGGGCTTGGAGTCGCAGCATGGTCCAGATGGGATTCTTTAAGACTCCATGTGCCCATAGAGCATGTTGGCCCTAAAGTACCTTGTGGCCAAAGTATACACTATATATGTACGTGGAGCCTTGGGGATTGCAGGTTGAAGTGTCGGTGTCGCGCAAGTGCGGACCTCCCAGATGTCCTAGCCAGCAGCCCAAGTGCAAGCACCTCAAGGCACTTAACAAGAAGCAAAGCCACACGTCAAACCATGAGCCTAAGTCCTAAACCTTGAGTCCTGAAGCCCTAAGCCCTAAACCCCTAAACCCCTGAACCCCCACAGCCCTAAACCCCTGAACCCCCAAAGCCCTAAACCCCTGAACCCTCAAAGCCCTAAAGCCCTAAACCCCTGAAGCGCCAAAGGCCTAAAGCCCTCAAGCCCCGAAGCCCTACTAGTAAAGCCCCAAAGCCCTTGGTATGAACACAAAGAGGAACCCCCCAAACACTACTCTAACTATTAAAGCCGTTACTATAATTAGTATAATTATAAGGAACCCCCAAAACCCTCTACTATTTTTTTTCTTTGTAAGGAACCCCCAATACCCTCTTCTTATGATTACCCTCTTAAGGAACCCCCCAAAACCCTAAGCCCAAACCCTAAGCCCAAACCCTAAACCCTAAACACTACATACCCTCATCGCTAAACCCAAAAGACTACACCGTAAACATCCCCAAACCCTAAACCCTAATCCTTAGATCCTAAACCCGAAATCCTAAACTCCTACAGCCCCCTCTTGTTTTTCCCTTATCACTAAACCCCTAAACCCCTAAACCCTAAACCCCTAAACCCCAAATCCCCTTATTTTTACCCTTATCTCTTAGATATGGATCTATAAGGCCCTTAATGGTAGCCCTAGTACCCCTAAACCCTAAGCCCCAAACCCTTATCTCTTTGGGTGGTCGGATCCCGTCTGCAGGCCGCAATGGGCTCGCAAGGCCTTGGCCAGGCCGGGCAGTTGAAACCCTGGGTGCGGCTTTGTTTGTTAAACGTTTTGGGGCTTAGGGCTTAGGGATGTGTAGGGTTAAGGGTTGCAGTTTTAGGGTTTAGGGTTCAGGGCCTAGGGATGTTTAGGGTTTAGGGTTTAGGGATTTTCAGGGTTTGGGGTTTAGGGATGTTTAGGGTCAGGGTTTCGGGTTTAGGGATGTTTGGGGTTCAGGGTTTAGGGATGTTGAGGGTTTAGGGTGCAGGGATGTTTAGGGTTTAGGGATGTTTAGGAATTGGGTCAAAAGTTCCCATAAGGGCAGTTCCTTGAAAGCCTTGAAAGGAACCCTGAAAGGAACCCTGCAGGGCTCTTTCAAGGGGTCCTTTGGGGGGGGGGGTGCTATAAGGGATCTATCTGTGGTTTTTTTTTCAGGTGAAATCGCAGGCCAACCATCAGACATTTAGGTTTACATAGCATCACAATGTATCCTAGGTTGCAGGGGGGCACCTTTTGGTTTTGTGCCTAGAAGAAGAGCACGAAGGTTAAGACTGATCTTGGCATGGGTCTTCTGTGCAGGCTGCTTTAAACCGGTAGGTTGGATCTGGTGGGGATCAGGTTCCGGGTTTCAGAAGAACCGACTTTTTCAGTACTTTCCGTGTCGGAAGCATTAATGATATTATCCCCTTGTACGTCCGATAATACTATATTCTCAAGGCCCTTGAATAGCAAGCAATGGCAGCAACAGTGCAAAGGTGCAGCGGTCAGACACTCACGACTTCTAGATCCTAGGCATAAAGACATACTGATTTAGTATTTTATGTTCATACATATGCTACGAGCCCCGCGGTCTCCCAAGTACGATTCAGAGTCGCGCAACTCAACACCCATGCCGCGACGGTTTCTTGTTTTCGGAGCATGTTTGGCCAGGTGTTGGATCTGGAGACAGGCGCAAATGTGCCCTGGCCCGAAGCTGCTTCGGTCTGTACATACTTGAGCGTCGGCGTGCACTGCGTAGTAACGAGTCAGAACACCGGGGGCGAAGAAGGGATGGTGATTTTGAGTGGTACTATGGTGCTGCTGAGATTCCACGCTTGGCCAGGGCTTGTTAATAGATAGGACATCATGAATTACGGGTTCCTCTAAGGCCAGCGAATTTTACAGTATAGCAGCAGCCAGTAATACTATCTGAGTTTAGGCTGTTGTGTTGAAGCATCGTTGTGACTGCCATAACCAACGCAATGATATTTAACATTCAAAAGTTCGCACGTGGCTCAGCAGTGCCTTGACACTAGATGATAGTTCGTGCATGTTCGTGCTGGTATTTTCTCTCCTTTTTGTTATGCTCTCCTATTCTCCCTGTGCGTGATGTTGTGGTCATTGCTGCCATTGTGAACCTTACAGTTTGTCAGCGCGCGCAGCCTGCTCCTTGAGTTGACTTTTCGCGATGGCCTTCCTTGAACTACAGGCGGAAACTGTACTGTCACTGAATGTTTCTCGTGATTGCATGGTGAATCTGAAGCTTTCATTGTGCTCTATAGTTGGTACAGTAACCAACGGCGACCGCCATCCCAGCAAGCACCCCCTGCACGAGCAAACATAAACGTACTCATGTTGAATGGGTAGCCAGGCGCGGACAGACACAGACAGATGGACAGACCTAGACATACATGTGAGCACACCCGCACACCACTGACCCACTCGAAGACAAACAAACACACACGCTTACACAGTGCGATGAACGACCTGCTTCTCAAGCCTGCCAGGGCTGCAATACACGGGTCTGGATACTTGGACGTAACATTGCAGTCACACTATGCTCTAGCCCAGAGATCCTTACGCATTCTGACCGTGAGGAGGCCCTTCTGCTTGCAAATTCGACAAGACATGGAGCCAACAATCCCTACAACCCTCTCAATGAACCCCTACCAGCCTCCACACAAACCCTCAAAAAAAAAGAAACCTTCACGCCCCAACCGAAAACCACAGTGGAGACCACATGGGGTTTCCGAAAATAGGGGACCCTAATGTAGTACCCTAATAGTAGGATCCTTATTATAAGGACCCCCCAAAGCAAGGTACCCCTCAGTTTCGGAAAGTCCCACATCCAGCCACAGGAGACGCTCGGACCGGAGTTGACAGAGGACGCCGGGCCCTGGGGACTTTGGATTGCAGTCCCCAGTTTGGCTTCCCGGAGTTTTGCCAACACAAAAGCCGGAAATACATGGTTAAGCACAAACCCTAGGCCCTAAACCCTAGACCCTAAAGCCCTAAACCCCAAAATCCTAAAGCCTAAACCCTAAAACCCTAAAGCCCTAAAGCCTAAAGCCTAAACCCTAAAAGCGTAAAAACCTAAAGCCTAAAGCCTAAAATCCTAAAGCCTAAACCCTAAAATCCTAAAGCCTAAACCAACCAGAAGCAGACTGAACCGTGAACGCCTCCAAAGAAGGAAGCGATCCTTCAGCGATTCCCAAAGCTACGCGCTCCGGAGACTCCAGAGGAGCTTCACTTCAGGGGGTTTGAGGGTATGGCATTGGGTTTAGAGGTTTAGGTTTAGGGCTTTTTAGGGTCTATAAGGGCTTAGAGTCGAGTCTTGTTTAGGGTTTTGGTTCGGGATTTTGCTTTCAAGAGCTTTTGCAGTCTCACTGTGAACTTCTCCTTGTGCCAGAACAGCGCCTCAGTGTCTCCGCCCCTTTCTTAAAAGACGACCCGATTGGGAGGACACCGCCCCAAGGAGTGATTCAGGCTGGAGCCTCAAGAGCAACTCCAAGTTTCCTATGTTGGTGGTTTTCTAAATTAGGGTCCCTTTTCAGGTCCCCAATATGGCACGGCACCCTTATAAAAAAGGACGCCAAAAGGTTTCAAAAGGGACACTAATTTAGAGAACTACCCATGTACACCGGGGGTATTCACTGCAAAGACTTATTCTGTCTGTCGGTCTGTTCGTGTTTTGTCTGCATCTCTGTGCGTCTGTCGTCCGTCCGTTCGTCGGTCTGTCTGTACGTATGGCAGGCAGACGAGCAGGCATGAAGGGTAAACGTGTTTGCATGTGTGTCTGTCTGTCGGTCTGTCGAGCTGACGGTCTTCGTGTTTGTTTGTTTGTTTGATTCTTTGATCGTTGGTTAGTATACTAGAAGATCGTAGCTATACTGAGGGGTTGGGCAGGGTTTTTCATCAATCGCAGTTTCGGGTGCTTACTAGCTGGGTGCGTAACCTCTGTGCCAATGCTGCTATCGTTCCAGGGGTAATCGTCTTGGGGCCAGGAAGCTCTGCGACTATTCCTCAGCTGTACCCTGCGCACGGCTTCGCGGATTGTCTGCCACAATCCTGAAACGCAAAAGCATTAGTGCTTCGCCTGTTTTCAATAGCCAATAAGAGCTCTTGCAGCTCTTATAGCAAGAACTTGTTTAAATAAACTTGAGAATGACTGTCCTACTTGTGAACAGGAAGCATTCGTAGTGGTCTTTATGTAGATATAACTACGGAATAAGAGAGCTCGTCCAATGCCTAAGATTGTCAGGAGAACTGCAACAGCTCTCAGCGCGAAACAGCAGAGCTCATACACCCTTGCTGCCAATTTCGGGCCGTGGCGTTTTACGCCATGTACCCTCTAGTAACCTCACAGCTCTTTCAACTGCGAAGAAAGCAAGAGGACTGTTGAAACTTTTATATGTCTTATATGTCTTTGAGAAGAGGAAACCTCCGATGGTGGTTGATTCCGACCGCGAGCCCCATCAACTCGTCCTGCGAAATAACAGGCGAGTTGTCATAGATCTTCACAGAGCACGCTAGGGCTTCTCGAATACGAGAGCTCGCCTAACCCCTTAAAAGGAAAAAATGCAGGTATATCTCGGAAGAATGTCGTATCGCTGAAAGAAACGAGAACGGAGAGCTGCAGCAACCTCTCATAGTTCATATAACATACGAATCTTGCTCACTCTTCATGGATAACTAAAGGAAGCGAGCTCCCCCAGCGCGCAAAAGAAGCGAGTGGAGGAACAAAAACCGAACTTCTACGTGAGAAATAGGAGCCTTAACAAACAAGGCGAAGATGCGAGCTTCTACAACTCTTGACTCTTAATTAATACGCCATGTGGGAGCTCCTAGAATCCATGAGGAGCAGATCTCTTGTAGCTCTTAGTAAGAAATTTGGAGGTGAGAGCTTCGATTGTGATCAAGTAAGAGCTGTTCCAATGTTTCCTATGCAAGATCATGAGAACTGCAGCAGCCATTGACCCAACACGAGACTTCCAACTTTCAGAAACTAGCGACAGAAAGCTTCTTTAGGTTAGTAAGGGTAGATGTGAAAGCAACATTGAGTCAGTATTTACAGGAAATAAGAGGAAGAGAGTTTCAAAAACCCTTCATCAGATATGTAAGACCTCCTCGTAAGAGCGAGTATGAAGAGGGATGTTGTCACATAGAGCGTAAAGGTTCAACCCACAGACTCTAAACTCCCAAGAAACCCCCGCAGCTAAAGCCGCAAAGGGGCAGAGATGGACGTCGAGAAGACGTTCGATGGAAACATGGCCGCGCAGATGGTCCTGGCAGCCGTGGCGCTGCAAGAGGACTTGCTACCAGAGTTTAGGGTTTCGCATAAAGTTTGTTGCAGGGGTTTATAGGGTTGCATTACGGCTGTTTATTGGGTTTTTAAGGGTTTCTACAGTGTCCTGGGGGGTTCGCTGCCGCATAGGAGTTGGAGTACTCATACTGGCAATTCAATATTGTAGCTGCATATGTCTGAGATGCTCCGCCAAGCATTGAGTAAATCATCCATGATTGAAGCTTGTTCGGTCAACATCGCATCTCTGGGGCTTGGGGTATACTGAACCAGTGCCAGACTTCGTTTGCTGCGCTGGCTAGCAGCCAAGTGCACCAGTCCGGATTAGAGCCGGAGCCCTGCAACCTTAAAGCCCTACACCGTGTACTTAAATTCATTTTATCTTGAACTTGAGCCTTCTTAGCCCCGGAACCTTAAACACCTAAGCCGTTCAATCCAGAACCCCGAAACTCCAAGCCTGCAATCAAATAACCACCCCCAGTTGGGAGCAATGAAAGCCAGAGTTTGGAGTTTAGAGCTTCGGGTTTGAGGTTTAGGGCTTTAGAGTTTAGGGTTTAGGGGTTTAGAGTTCAGTTTAGGGTTTAGGGTTTAGGGGTTTAGAGTCTATTACGGCTTACAAAGAGGAGCGCGTGGCAGTCTACAAAGACTACGACGCAGCGTTCAAGTATCTCCTCCAGGTCTCTTGGTCTTGCGCCGGGCTTTGGGATACGTATCGTCTCTGTTGTAATCCCTTTTCTGGTAGGATTATAAGGGAAACCCAACACAGGAACTTCAATGGGAGACTCTAGGGCACTGGGTAGAGTCCGGATAGGCTAGTTACATGTCTCCCAGTACTACCCTTTGTCCTTATTTGTTTGAGAGTGGCCTCCTTATCAAAACAGAACAAGGTCAAGAAAAAGAGTACGCATTGTTGAAAAGGGGCTACCAGGGAACCCTTAAACGCCTTTTACTCCGCCTCGTCTTCTTCAGAGTCTTACGCAGAAAGCTGCACCAAGACCCGCCAGCTGTTTTTTAAAATTCCTTAGTGTTGACAGGTACATGACCGGGGCTGCAGATATTAAGCCCGAGTTTCCTTCCGCCTGTTTCAGGCGACTTTGTGCAATCAGATCATGAACATCCGAGAGAAACGAAGATGCCCAGATGACGGCAGATTTCTATAAGCAGAAAAGTCCCGATCTGGTTAGTGACCCAGCAGCCGAGCTTGAAAAGGACCATTAGCCAGCTGATGTAAGATCCTTTAGAAGTGGAAGTCGAAGCTTCGAAAACGAGGCGGAGGGGCAGAAGGCTACTCGCGCCTTGGCGTGGCTCTACCCCTTTGTGGTGCGTTGTGCCACGGTTCGTTTCCAGGTGCTGCAGCACAGCTTTTTGCAAAGATGTCTCGCTTTCAACACTGTGGAGTTCATTGTTACATGTGACCCATTCATCTTTATCACATGTGTCCATGCACACATACGGATGCACACGCAAACTCTCTCTTGCTCTCTCTCTCTCTCTCTATCTGTCTCCCCTCCCTCTCTCTCTATCTTTCTCTCTCTCTCTCGCTCTCTC